TCCCCTACGTCCCCCGATCCCCCTCCACTTTTCTCAACGGCGGAAATCCAAAGCAAACGCATCGTTTACACCGATGCCGGTGTGTAATTACTCGAGACAGAATCTACCGTGCTGAGGAAGAACACCGTATGAGCATTCGAGAGTTGCCAAATTTCCTTCAATAAAATGTTTATTTTTCAAGAAAGTTAGGAATATTTTTCCTTGAAAGTTTCAGTAACTGTAGATGAAATTGCAAACAACATTACCTGAAAAATTGGAAGAAAAATATTCACAAGTTTACCAGAAAATTCGTGTTTTATAAATGGAAATTTGGCAGTGCCTAAAGGTTCATACGGCGTTTTTCGTTAGTACGGCAGTAATACTAAAGATGAGCATCTTGTCAGTAAAAGAATGTTGATGAAGTTTCTCGAATTATATTTTTTATTTTTAGGAAAGTTACGAATGCTTTGTATGCGAATTTTGAAACACGTTCGGTTGCCTTGCATATGGAATTATCCGAGAAATGTTTAGGAAAAAATTTAACAATTTCCCATAAAATCCCTATTTTATTTGAAGAAATTTAGCAACGTCAGAATTCTCCCACAGCCGTTTTCTTCAGCTTAATGTAAGAAATATTCTGTACTTAACGGAAATTAATGTTTTGTCGGCTGGTTTTCATGTTTACGAAATTAAGGTGGAAATGGCTCAAACTTGAATTGAAAACAATTTCGGGCTCTTTTGGGTTTGGATGCGAAGGAGCCTTATTTGCTGTAAAAAAGTCATTTTTAGGGTTTTTCTTTGTTTTTAAGGAAAAAAAGAAGGTCATAAGTAATATATGGTCTCCGTCCTAGGAGTACCAGCCAAGAGAACATTCTTTAAAAAAGGTAGAAGAAAAATCATTTTTGAAAGACTCCTCCAATTGGAGAGGCGGAAACATGATAGATTGAATTCGTACGTTTTTTGTTTCAAAAGAAGAAATAATATATCCAGGATTGAATTTATGAATTCTATTTTTATTTCCTTGATGGATATTTTTACTTATAGAAGCAGAGTGAAGGTTTCGATAAATTTTGTACTCATCTTATCGAACCATTCCAATTTTATTTCGTTTTCAATTTCTTTAAAGTAAAAGTTAAAACCAATTAATTAATTCCTATGTTGTTCTCTGTGTTTCAGGTGAGTGGTGATAAATTTTCATTTTGGTTTTGATCGTAAGTATTTTTTCGCTTCACTTTTTGCTGCATCTCGATTTTGTTCATACTTTTGTTGACATCGGAAACTTCATCTTCCTCATTTTTAAAGTCAGAACGCCGTATACGTATAGGTGTACGAACGTTTCTTTCTTCCGTTTTCCAAAACGCCTTCAAATAGAGATGATACTCCGCAACACACCGGAGCTCGAATAGTGGTATCATGGAAACTTGCTTGTGTCATATGGAGTGCATGAGCGCCGTATACGTATTCAAGTGTTTCTCTCTATAGAACGAAGGGTACGTAACGAATTTATGTGATTTTATTTCGAGTTTTTGTAGAATTTTTCATCGGTCGTCTCAAGAAATTTCAAAGAATTTCGAAAATATTCTTTGCAATACTTTCACTTTTCCTCACTAAACAGAAACACCAAACCGTTGAAGTAAATCTAAGGTGATATTTACAATATTTTTCGTGGAAATGGGAGGAGGGAGGAGCGTTACGTAATGTTTTAGGGGAGTCTATAGCACAGCGTTACGGAGCTTTACAGGGGGTGTCAAAAAACCGCACATTTTTACATCCCGTAATTTGAATCTGTTGTTTTCAAAAAGGAACAGTTCCCTTCCTCGACGAGTCTTACAATTATTTAGCATGTCCTTTTGTGCAAGCCAAGGCTTATGCAACAATCTGCCATGCAACAAGAAAACGCCGTAAACGCCATTGTAAATTTTTGGAAACAATGTATCAGAACAGAAAAACTTGTGTGCGTTTGGGACAATGTTTTTACAGAATTCCTTCGCAAATACTATCAAGAACTTGACCTGAAAATTTGATGTGCATGAGTAAAACAGTTTTTATTTCATTAAGTGTTAAGTTCCAAAAACGCGGGAAAATCTACACCGAAAAAAATAATATGCTGTTTTAGTACCTAGGATGTTCAAAATGTGTCTGGTGATCTCAAGATGCTGTCTTAACTGCCTACAGAGTTAAATTTGCATTCACAGGATGTAAAGTTAACTGCGAGGGCAGTAAGGACAACAACTCCGGATCACCAGACACATTTTTAGCATCATCGGTGCTAAAACAGCATATTATTTTTTTTCGGTTTAGATGGATTTATTCTTGCTTAGTACAGCAGCAATAGACTTGTTCCCTTTTGAAAACATCTGACTCATTTAGGGACGGCCCCTAAAGGTTGCGCGCACGAAACGATCCCCCACCTCGAACCCGCGAAGGATGTCACCCCCAGCGTCATCCCCCCGTAGTGGCGGCGCCCTCCGGCAGATGGCGCCAGGGTCGGCGTCGTTCACCTGCGTGTGGCGTCTCCCATCCCGTCATCCCTCAGTTGCAGTGCGACCCCCGCGTCGGTCCCTCGCGAAATCCCGCTCGCTCTTGGCGTCGCGTTGCGTCGTTCCGTGATCGCGTCCGTGCGGCAAGCTCTCGCTTGTGGTGTTGTGAGTTCGCCGTCCTGGTATCGCAACCGGTTTCTGTAGTTTTTCCTTTGGATTACCTCTTTTTGGAATTTTCATCGTGGGAGGGGGTTGTTTTGGATATTTGGAAAATCCGCCTCCGGGCTACCGTTTTCGGTTGTGGTGACGTTTATCCTTAGATTTTTTTTTCTTTTTTTTTTTCTTTTTTTCCATTGCACAACATAAAACGTACAAATGAACTCTTTTAGACATTTTACATGTCTTTAAAAAGCTTATTTGAACTGTTAACATGTAAAACTTAATCATGTCAAAAGATTTGACGGTATATGACCATACGGATGACTTGAATGCATTATTTTTTCAAGTGAATAGAACTCGTTTAAATCATATTTAATTATTCATCCAGCCAGTGGTTTCTCCCAGTTGACCGCTCCGGGGTTTCTTTTATGCTTGTTTATTTTTATTTTTTAATTTTTTTTTTATCGAATACATCCTCATACACGATTACCACATTAGTATATAGTCTCAAGACTATTTTACAATTATTTATCTTCAGGACGGGATATTTGAGGAAAGTGTTTACAGCCTGGGGCATAGTATAAATTTTTCTGTACAGGGACATGGACTTTTCCTAAATGTATTTCATGTCTGCTCCGGTTGTGCTGGCATTTATTTTCAGAAATTTGACGATATACGACCATACGGAATCCGCTCGAATGCACTATTTTTTCTAGCGTTTCATCAAGTGCATTTGAATCACTTAAAATTATTCATCCGGTCAGTTGTGCTTGAAAGAAAATAGTCGGGCGTTTCGTCATTCAATCTTTATCGTCTGTGATCATTTTGTGTAATTTCACTTTTCCCTAACAGAATTTCTACGTTTCCGTAGAATTTATGTTCCGTAAATGTGTAAAGATACGAAAAAATCATCTACGCCAGGATAAAATTGGTCTTTATTTTCCTTCACTCATCACTGACCGTTCAATGATGATGAGTGTAAGTACGGAAAAAATTGAATTCAACGTTTCATAATTTTCCGCATCACCGAGCTATCATTATCACTTAAGATTTGGAGTGAATTATCATATCCCAGTGAAGGCTATTCACATGAATTGTAAATGACTTTTAAGAAAATTGCAATAGAGTTTCTACGTAGAAAATCCATCACAATTTTCTTCAAAGTCATGTTCAATTCAAGTGAATAGTCTTCACTAGGAAATGAAAATTTACTCAAAATCTTAGGTGATAACGATAGCTCGGTAATGAAAAAAATTATGAAAAGTTTAATTCAGATTTATCATGCACATTTCTAGACTGTTTGTGAGGTGATAATTACATATGTGTGTAGAAAAGTTAGCAAGAACACATTCGAAAACCGCTGTAAAATTATTCACTGATTCATGTGTCGAATTATTTCAACGAGTTCCCTCCGTCTCAGCCCCGTTCCGTTACCCATACTCCGAAATGATCGATTGGATGTTAATTAGTATTTTTTCGTCTCTGCGTTCATTTAAAATATCCCATTGAAGTTTCTCATAATTACGGTTTGTAGGGAGTTCAAAGACTTTGACTCGTCATGAATTCTCCGCCCGGTTGGTAGGACATAAGCCTTTTTTATCTGAACTTCAACCAGAAACTCGATGCCTACTCCATTCAGCGTTTGTTTCATAAAATTCACAATTATCATGAATTATTAATAATCGGGAATTTAATTCTATGCCTCCGCTTTTCACTTGCTTTTTTCGGGTTCTCCTTTCATTGGCTTACAGCCTCCATAATCCTCAACCCGTGTGATTCTAACTTGCTAATGGCAGCGCCTCTTTGCGTTTATCCGCAAATGGGTTTTTACTTTCTAGCGCGTCTGCCTCTAGGTGCTCGATTTAGGTGCTTCTGCAGTTCCTTTCTCTCGGAGCCTCGCTTCCATTCATTTGAAGCCGGCTCATTATAACTCGATGCGGTGTTGCCAGATTAGTTGGAAAAAAGTTCCACCTTCCCTACTAATGCTGCCGTGCTAAGGAGAAGCGTCGTATGAACATTCGCGAGTCGCCAAATTTCCTCCAATGGAATTTTTATCTTTGAGGAGAGTAATGAATGTTTTCTCTTCAAATTTGTATGTAATTTAGATCTAATTACGAATTAAATTCGAAGGAAATGAAAAATTGAACGGCATATATTCACAAGTTCCACTGAAAATTCGTGTTTAATTCAAAGAAATTTGGCAACTGATGAAAGTTCATACGGCGTTTTTCCTTAGCACGGCAGAATGGGTCAGTTGCACTGATCGCAGAATCTTGTTTTGATGCTTGATTCTTGCAGATTCGCAAAAAATAACAAGATCTGCCCGAACAGCAACTTTCTGCGTTGAATATTAACTGAGATATCGCGCTATAAAATTCGGTTTATGACGTTATCCTTCGCGGTAGTGACACCTTTGGTTTCTTCCATCTTTCTTTCATCAGTCAGGGGAACACACATTATTTGCGCTGGTTACTTAACGTATAACTTGGAAGAAAGCAAGGTGGAAGAAACCAAAGGTGTCACTACCGCAGTGGATGACGTCATAAACCGAATTTTTCAAAGCTAGATGCTCTAGAAAAAAAAAAAAAAAACACATTGGATCTAGAGTCCAGACTCTTGAAAACATCGACAAGAAAAATACTCTTGATTCAATCAGATTTAAGCGTAAATCAAGAACCAAGCCTCTTATTTTGAGCGGATTTCCTTTTGATTTAAGCTTAAATCTGATTGAATCAAGAGTCCTTTTTCTTGTCAATGTTCTCAAGAGTCTGGACTTTAGATCCAATGGTTTTTTTTTCTCCAGTGTGTCTCGGTAAATAATCAATGTAAAGAGTTGCAGTTTGGACGGATCTTATTATTTATAGATTGTTTGCACACGCATTTTCAGAAGAAGCTTAAAACTGAGACTGTACGTAATCGGGGAATTGAAAATTGCGAAGTTGTAAGAGCGGCATCACTGTGTATGCTCGAAAACGCAGTGCAGGCCATGCATTTATCTCAACAGAACACTAATTCTAATTTACTCTTAACCTGCTGGAGCGTGAAACTTTGTGGATGAAGCGAGTGAAAAGTACACGGGTGAATCGATGATCATAGATAGGAACACACTTATTCCCGGGGTCGCCGTTGCAACTTCGGGCCGAAACCATTCCATGCTGAGTTTAATTTTCGTACGCTACCGGCCCCCTTCCATCCGGCAAGGGGAAAGTTTACGGAGGGGGGTTTAGCGCCAGAACGATTGAATGACCAAAAATATTAAGGCTACTTTTCAAGCAATCCAGTAAAGCTGCCGTGAGCTATGGATTGCTCCCTCCAGAAAAAAGAACTGCAGAATTAGAGACCCTTTAAAGGGGAAGTTGAGGCAAGTCGGCTCGAAGATGTAAGAAAAAATATTACCTATTTTTATCGTCCTTCGTAATATTCGATCAACTCATTCCCAAATTCCTTCATCCCAGAGTGTCTACTAGTCCAGAATTTCCGGAAAGTTCGGAAATTGTACTGATTTTTAAAGGCGGTCCGGAAGTACTGATAAAGTGCGGAAACTCCGCAAGAAGGTCTGGAATTTCTTCCTTCATTCCGGCAGTGTGTTTTTTCTTAAAAAAAACTAGAAAGTATGAAATCCCCTACGCGTTGTAATTTTTAGAGTAGTATTTGCCTGTCAGATCGCGATTGTGTAGTCAGTTAGTCTTCAAGCCACCAATCGAAGTTTGTGTTTGTGTCATTTTTGTCGTAACTTGAATGAGATTTCGTCTAGTGGAGGTACTGAAAAAGTGCCGATTTTTCTGTCGAGGCTGTACTGAATTTCTCGAGAATGTACTGAAAAAGTACCGTAAAATCACTGAATTTCGGCCAGCCTGTTTTAGTAGACGCCCTGCTTCCGTTTTTTCATCATACCGTTTGTTGCGTGACGTACGAAAGAATGCATGAACGTATGCAAACGGCAGGGCCGCAGGGCTCATCTCAAATTGCAGTCACGCCCATACGTCAGAAGAACGACGAATAAACGGAAATGTAATGAATCTGATTCGAGCAACTATTCGAACGCCCGTGCAGTCATTTTGCCTACATAAGGATTTGCGGGCGTTATTTCAGATTGTAAGTGCTGCCCTCGCTTTTCTTGTGCTGTGTACAGTTTTCTGCGAGACAAATAGGAAGAAAAATAAAGTTGAGGGGGGGTAGTTTTTATGAAGGGGTAGTTTTGAAAGCAGATGAATTAAGTGTTTTCGATTTTTTGTCGTAGATTTGGATTACATTTTACAATGAGGGACCACAATTTTTGGCCTCTTTTCGAAACAACATACATGACATTGCTTTCCCTTTGCAGATAAGTGCTTTTATGTAAGAGCTAGAGATAGTGGTTCTTTATTAAAAAATGCAATCCATTTTATATTTGCAACCATTTGACAATAAAGGACCCTACAACAAAACGGCCAAATCGGCCTAAACACGGAATCGTACGATTTTCTCAGGGATGATAGAGGGTCTTCCCAGACACTCAAAAATGGTCATATTTTTTGCCTAACCCCCAGGGAAAAGGGGGGAGAGGGGGTCAAAGTCAAAACCTTTAAATTAGCATAATTTCTCAACGGTTTGTCGTAGAAAGATGATCTTGGTGTCAAAATTTCCAGAAAAATGAGAGCTTTCAGAATATATGTATGAAATTAATAAAATTTTAAAATTTGACCCACTTTTGGGGCATTTTACAAGGTCCCCCTTTCGTAAATTTTCGTTTTTTGAGATTTTCGGTTGTTCGGTTCGTACGGATTAAGACAAAAACAATTTCAAATGAAAGTAGAGCGTTTCAGCTTTAAAACAAGCCCAAGATGATCTTGAGGAAACGATTAGAAGCGGAGTTATGCGTCTTCAAAGTTGACGCGGCGCGCGGGAACCTTGTATGTTCCGAGTCTCAAGGTCACCTGCGCGCCCCGGATTGCCTGCAGGTTGCAAGTTTTTGTGTTTTTATGCTTCTGTAGGTCATTTTTAATGTAAATCATTCAATGAAGATAGTTTAATCAGAATTTTTTTAATTTTACACAATGGG